TATACAAAATTTTTCTAATCACAATATTAATAAAAATCTTTATAATAGAATTTGTTCTCTAACCAAACAAGCCTTAATGTTAATATATGTATGTAAAAATCATTTAACATTAATGATTATGAAAAACCAACGAGACTTTGAATTTGTATCAATAATTTAAAATTTTAATTTAAAGTTAATACAAAATATTTAAATTTATGTGATATCAAGTAGTTAAATATAAAATAATAACAAATAATGAATGTGAAAGCAAAAAATTTATTTTGAATTGAAATTTGAAATTTAAACTTATTCACTATTACAAGAATGGAAGAATAAATATGTATTTCTCTCTAGAAAGAGAAAAATCAAAATCAAAATGTCATCAAGAAATGAATATGAATAATTTTACAATTAGTCTTTGAAATCTTAATTTTTCTTAACCCCTTTGTAGAAAAAAAAGTGATATTTTTCTTTGTCATCTACACTCTGCAACAACCAAAAGAGACTTAGGCGTGCCAGCACATGGGTCACCCCCAAATTTCTTGCTCCATACGGGTATAGAGCACATGCCCTTTCCCACACAGGCCTGCCAAGTTACAAACATTTAGGCAAACATTGGCAGATTGAACTAAAACAAAAAAAAGGCAGGAAATTAACATGCCTCACCTTCTCTACAATGGCTAAGGATTTGGGCGAGTGACAACTTGTGTTGCTGGCATAATAACTTTGACAATCACCAGAAGGAGTTCCAAAGCTTGCAAACAAGATCCTTGAGATGTTCCTACCCGGTGAACATCCAAGCAGGAGTTTAGGCCTCCTTCCACGCTGTTTTTGATAAGTACTCACCGGTGGGAGATGTGAATCAGACACATGACTACATACTTTGTTTATTGATACTGTGTCAATGGAGATCCCCAGAGGGTATCCATCTTCTTCTTCTAGTATGACCAATAGGTTATCAGCTGGCTTGAGGAAGGCTCGAGGAACATGGTACCTAGAATCCAATTCAACATGAATAAACAACAGATACATCAGAACTACAATATAAACAGACACACATACCAGGTTTGTGAAGGAGTGCCTTTTGGGGTAAGGTATGAGACCCAATATCGACCAATACTCTGTCCATTGACCCAGATTTCGCCCTTTCCCATTGACTCAAAGTTTAGTGCCACAGCATCTTTTCCATCCGGAGCATCAAACAGGGTCTAAAAACAACAATATACATAACAAAAATGAAATATGAATGTAATTTCATAACTAAGTACATGATAACAAGATAAATTTCCATACCTTGTACCAGGTAAGCTTTTTATGAGTGGAGCTTCCATAAGCATTCCATTGAACTTTATTTGATCCAGAATCTGTGTAAATCTCTAACTTCTCACCCAACAGTCCAACCTTAAAAATTAGTCAATTATGTCAGCTTGAATATTGGGGTTTGGGAAAGAAAACACATTTAAATAAGACTACAATACTAGAGACAATATAACCTGATATCCCCATAAATGACTGGTGAAGTCTTTTACTTCTTGCTCACTCTGAATCATCACACGTCTTAATCCAGCCACCCTTCTCTCAAGAAATGCTCCACTATCCTGTACCAAATTGACAGTAGTTCATTAAACAATGCACATTTAGTTAATGATTTATAACAAGGAAAGTTAAATGATCGACAATTACCGGTAATCCAACCATTACACTAAGTAAGGAGACATGGTTGGTTCCATTGACCAAAGTGATAGCTTTCTCAAGGCTGAAACCCTTCTCATGACTTCCATGAGCAGAACCTTGTTAAGTTCCAGAATGTGTTATCAATTGATTGCAAAATCAAAATTTTCGGTCATAATTGCCATTTCAAGAGAAGCTAGCTTACCTACAAATGCCCCATTTACGAATGCATGTAATACATGAGCAAGGGAGTTTACTTTAAGTACTTGTTGAACATGGGAATTAGAATCATCCTCAAACCTGCAATAATTTAAACATTAGAAGAAAATTAAGGGTGTTAGTTGATGAACTAATGCGTTCAGTCAAATTTATACACACAAACACAAATGTATGCATGTATAGCTTTTGAATTGGTTTACCTGAACGTATACCAGAGATAATCTGATGTGTCCTTAGTTACATTCATTTGCTCTAATAACATGTTTGCTCTTAATGAAGTGTTGTCAAAATCGGGGATAGATTCACTAAATTCTTCCCATTTTCCAATTGAATCAAGCTTCTGACTTGTTACCATTCCTCTTGTACCATATTGTGTGCTTACCTGTCATATGATCAGATGAATCTCAGGGGAATTTTATTTTTCTTCCTTTGCTTGTAACATCAATAACGGAAACAGTTGAAAAGATTATGAATGTCAAACATATGCATACCTTTGCAGTGTTGAAGACAACAGTCTTGCAATCTGGTAGGATGCTGATTGACCTTGGAGGCAATTCATAAGAAGAACCCATAAAGCTAACATTAACAGCATTTGTCAAGTGATTGTTAAGCAGAAAAGCGGCACATTTATTTGAACTTCCTCTGTATACAAAGGCCTGTGACCAATATTTGATTAAACCCCATTTAATAAAGCAATAAAAATAAACAAGTTCCTCTATTAAGTAATGTTCTTACATGTTGTGATCCACCCAAGGACTCATTGGTATACACTCCAGACAGCAGAGGCTTTGAGCTTAATTTAATTGCAGCATGTAACTCTTTAAGATGACCCCACTTAGGTTGCCTAAACAGACCTAAATTATTCCCCACAAACTCCACAGGTTTAAGTTCTAATTTTAACTTTGAGTATAAAATGTGTAGCAAGGATGAACGGTTAGTATAACTTCATTACCATACTCATCAAGTGGAGCTTGATCATAGTAACTTGTAAGTTTATAGTCAGATGCTGTTCTTCCAAAATTTGTTCCTCCATGATACTGTAAGGGAAAGATTAATGATGGATAGCAAACGATACATGTTTGCAATTAAATGTTGTAAAAATTGGTATTGTAGCTAGGAAGAAACCATTCATCATACCATATAATAATTGACATAGCTTCCTCTCTTTGCAATGAACAGTGCAACATGAAATGCTATGTCTTCTGCGGATCTGATTACCGGTTCCTCTCCAAATAGTTCATAACTTTTAGAAATAATAATAGAAATGCATGCATGATCAGGAGTACGGAATTGCAATTTTCTAAAAGATTCAGGGTAATTCATTAAAAACATACAAGCTTGTCCAATTCTCTGTCCATATTGCTGGCTTATTTGGTGAGTTTGGTCCTTTAAACGTCTCTCCACATCGCCTCCCATTACATGAATTTATCTGCCACCAAGCAAAGTTCAGAAAATTTTGTCCTGACATTAATAGTAAGAAAAATTGAGAGACTACTGACCACAGGATCAGGAGCATTATCTTGCTTGCACATGACCCATGGTACACCAGTTCCAAGCCCCACAGCCATTTGTGCAGCCCAATTTAAGTAAGAAGTCCCATCCTCTTTAAATGCTGCTTGCACTGTTCCATACTCATTCTCAATCTACATTTCAATTAAACAGCTTTCAGAATCTTTCCACATTAATCAGAACAAAGGTAAAGGCTTTAGATTTGATTTAAAACCTGTGACAGTATAATCGGCCCTCCTTGTGAAGCATATAACTTTTCTGCCTTCATCATGTTCACTATTTTTGTCACAAACTTTTGCATATGATGCTGCAATTATGAATTATAGGATTAGCTATGTTATAACTTTTGTAATTAACATGTAATCAATCCGAAGATTGAAGTATAGATATATACAGATGCACACACATGGCACTACACCTTAAAGGGTTTGTTATTGGATCGATAAACAATTCCTGGAACATCATGCAACCAGAATGGCAGACCCCTGCAAAAATCATTTTGAGAAAACTATATAATATACATTAATGAACTTCATATTTTACGGAGTGATGAAGTAATTACCCATAAGTCCATTCACCCTGAATGAAAGGTCCAATCCTAAGGCATGCATATAGACCCTGAGCTTGAATCTCCTTAATGAACCTTATTATATCCCGTCTTCCACTGAAATCAAACTGCAAAAACAACAGATTAATTAGCTAATCAAACATTAGATGTTATGTAAAAAGAAAAAGGGGACAGAGACTGACCTGTCCTGGTTGGGGCTCATGAAGGTTCCAAAACACAAGGGTTTCTATCACATCAAGTCCTCCTGCTTTTGCCTTGGCTATCAAAGATGGCCACATCTGCACATACAGAATAATATTATATGCAGCCAAAAACTTACAAGTTGTTTACTTACTCATTACACACATGTCAACTCTGTTAACTATAATCCGTTGAGTTTTAATCGCTATATCAAACACAGTATCTATAAGAAAAACAGTGAAAAAATATGATAGAATTTATGATACCTCCGGAGTGCTACGAGGATAGTGAATTGAACCGGAGAAGAGAATCCGGTGTTGACCTTCGATGATGAGAGATCTTCCATCATAGGTTACGTTGCCACCGTGAGCACGGCCTGCTGCCGCACACAGCAGCCCCAGGAGACACAAGAGCCATGCCATCTAAACTAATTTTCAACAAAAATTGGAGGGTCGCACAGTGTCCATTTATGTTCTGGTCTTAGGTGTAAAAAAATTTCAAACAGATTTGGTACATCGCAACTTAGAAAAAAGAAGAATCTGATTGAGATTAGTTACCACATTAACGATGGTGGATTCAAATGGTTATCTAAACAAGGAAAATGAATCGCGCAAAATATTGTCTATAATGAAATTTTAATCCCAGATAGTGATAATTCTGATTAAGACATAATTGCGAAAAAAAGGGTATTTGTAATTAGAGTAAGTAAATTAATATGAGCTACAGCATATTTTTTCCTTATATATATTTACATTTTATATTACCTGAATTTAAAATTTTTTATTAATAAATCACTTAAGTAGTTAACGATTTTAATAATTTAGTAGTAATTTTTTTTTTCTAAGAGATACTAAATTCGAATCGCATTACATGTAAGTAAAGTAAGATAAGAAATGAAAGAAAATTGTTTCTTATTATACAATTAACATGAAAAAAAAAAAAAATCACTCAAGTGGTTAGTATTAATAAAAAATACGATACTAACTAATAAACTCCATCGAACCGAACAGGGTCATGATCAACTATTGAATATGAACTGGTGCATAGGTGTGGCTTAAAATCAACCGTAATAAACAAGGGCCAAGCTCATAGTTTTCCATTTCCAGGTCAGAGCATCGCATTTTCAACACGCTTTTCATGTTTACTTTGAATGAAATGTGTATATCCAAAATGAGCGCGTGTTAAGCTTTTTCCATATTTGAACGTTGGGACTCTTTTATATATATATAAGTTAATATTTCTCCGTTTTATTTTTCAAAAATTAAAAAAATAAAAAAATAAAAATCACTTTAATGCATGCTTTAAAAATATGGTAGTTTAGTCTTTTTTAATAAAAAGTTATTGAAACAACGTAGTTTTAAAATGATTTTTCTTCCTAATTTTTAAGATAAAATTGACAGGAACTTTTTTCATATATATATATATGTATATCTAATTACAAATTATACAAAAAAAAGATAAATTTTCTTTATCTTCAATCCCTTTCAATCTGACTCAAATCTTAAACTTAAAATTTTTAATTTAAAATTTTAAAATTTTAATAGTTAAGTTATTTCATTGAAGTTGAGGTTGTCTTACATGTTTTGCAACACAAGATGAAATGGTATTTCTAAGCCCATAGGACCTATTAAGGGCCCATAATGTTTACTCAAAAATGAAAATCAAAGTTTTGACCTTTGGGTCCTTGGCTTTCCTTCCACTAGGTTTCAAACAACTGAGCGGCTTCTTACTTCTGGTCCAAAGCCTTTGTATTTAATTTGTATGCATGAATGTATATATTATTATACAATATATTTATTAAAGTAAAGTATTCATCAACTGATCTTTACAAAATTAAAAAAGAAAAAAAAAGGGACTAAAGTAACCCTTTTTAAAGTAAGAAAGAGTTTATTTTTGTTATTTATTTATGATACTTTAATGAAAATATTTTTTTATCTCAAATTATATAATAAAAAAATAATTGATCTTTTACTCTACTATACTGTTTAAATTCAAAATTTTTTTATTTATACAAAAAAAAATTTACCTTACTTTGTTGACAACACTAAATGCTATTAATTATGTATTATTTGTTAATTTTTTTCTTTCTTTCATAAAAGCCCAGGAGTAGGGTTTTTTTTTTTTTTTTTCTTCCTTTTTTCTCTTTTAAATAAAAAATAATTACTAACACTAAACTTTGGAATAAAAACATGTGAATTAATCTTTTGGGAGCACAAATACAAGAATATATATTTTTTTATAATATAATGGAAGAACCAGAATGACCATCACCTACACGCGGTAACAAACAGATATGATCTCCTGTACACATTCTATGCTACTATCTGGTCTCTACTACACAGGAAATCCAATATTCATCGTCCGATGAATCAAAATCAATTTTCTTTTTTCTTTTTTCTTCTGTATCAACGGCCCAAGTTCTATCTACCTAACAGAATGCACAGGCACACTCATAGACTTTCAGTCTCGTGTTACTGCGCCCAACCAATCACCGTTCAGAACGGCTTCTGCAGGTACAGGAACATATCCTGGAGAGGCGACATCTGATTCCCGCACTGGAACATGTCCATGGTGGGATCCACGTAATTATAGGAAAAATCGAGGGCATTGAAGTCTTTCCATTTCGGCTCGCTCTGCACCTCGCCGCACGTGAATTCCGCCGTAGACACCACGTGCTCCGAGCAGCTCGAGTCCGTGTGCAGCCTCGGCACCGATTCTGAGGTGTCGAAGTAAACGCAATCATTCGCCGCCGCGACAGCAGGCGGCGGCAGCGCCCTCCCATCCATGCCACGTGCCAAGATCTCTGGCTTCTTCTCCTCTGTAATTCCAGATAAACTCGGTTTCCTTTCTTGCTGGGGCGGCGGCGTCGGCGTCGGCGTCGGCTGCCTCTCTATAACCCCTTTCTTGTTGTATATACGGCACAACACCCAATCGTCCAGCTGCAAAATCACAACCGTCAGATTAATCACACGATAGATCACCACCGTCCAATTAATCACATAATTTTATTTTCTTTTAATTTATCAATCAATGAGAAGAGAGATAAGTAGGAATATTTGCCGTAATAGGAAACTGATAATCAATGTCATAGGGTCCATCAGAAGATTTTTTAGGGGCAAAATTGTAATTACAATTATAAAGAAAAGGTCGGTTTTTTTGTGGATACCCTCAAGCTGTTCTTTTTCCGAGCGGAGCGGTCGACGTCGGCGAGGCGGTACTCGTGCATAATCCAGTTTGTTTTCTCTCCTTTGGGAGCTTTTCCGGAGTAAAACACCAAAGCCTTTTTGATCCCCACCGCCTTTGGTTGGCCGATCGGCTTATCAGCTCCGGTCGCCTTCCAGTACCCACTTCCTGCTGCCCTGTTTGGCCTTGATCCATTTGGATACTTCCTGTCCCTCGGTGAAAAGAAGTACCACTCCTTCTCGCCGTACTGAGCCAAATCTGGAAATTTAAAAAAAAAAAAAAAGAAATCAAATTTATTTCTGATCGGAACGGATATAGAAATTAACCGTATAGATTGATTCAACAGGTTTAAGTTAATTACCAGGAAGTTCCCATGGATCATACTTGTAGAGATCGATTTCCGCGATGATGGGAACGGCGATTGCCTGAGAAGCACATTTCCGGCAGAGGTAGTGCGTGACAAGCTCGTCATCCGTCGGATGGAATCTGAACCCCGGTGGTAACTGTAACTCCGCCGCCATTTTGACCTTTTCTTTTTCTCTTCAAGCTAGCTGTCTTCTACTTCAGCCGGTGGTTGTGCCAATGCTTTCCCCGTTTCTCGACGGTGAATATCCGATTGAAACTTCGAACTTGCGATAGAGGGGGTAATTTATAGAGAAGAAGGAGGACACGTGGCGTGAGTGGCGGTGAGAGGTGCTCCTTCTAGAATCAACGTGGGCGATAACGTTTTCGGAAGCTTTTTAGCGGAGTGGTAAGAAAGAGGGGACACGTGGAGGTGTTGTAAGTGATTTGCTTGCGTGGCGGTAGCCCACAATGCAGTGATTTTGTCATTGCTTACGCCAAATATTTTGGACGGGAGCGGATTGGGGAAAAATAAAGGAACCAGATGGCCCTCGCGATTTGCGTTCGGTCCGCATGCTTTTTTATTTATAATATTTTATTATAATTATCAACGCTCTAAAAAACACATGATAATAATATAATA